AGCGAAACTACTTTGTTTGGCCTTCCAAAAGAGGACGATATCTGCTTCGTCATGCCTGGAGCTGATCCGTGCTGTTTGCTGAGGAAATCGCGCTGTCGATCGCCGGATCGGCTTTCACTGTGGACGAAGCGGATTCCAGCCCGGGGTCATCACATGTGGTTTCCGCAAGCCTTCCGGACGCTCCTTCGTCGAAATCCAGCCGCGCCGTTCTCAAGCCCACCCGCCTCTGTTCACTCTAGCCCTCCGGCCGTTCCTCACTCTAGCCGCCATTGGAGCTGTGTTACACACTGCATGAAAGGTAATTTTCAAAAACCCATAATAGGGGCACTTTAAATGCCTTTAATATATTCTATACCTTATTCGCGTAAAATGTTATTTTGACTAATATCTGACTAGCGTTATGTTACAACAAAAAAATTTAATTTTAAGGGTTAGATTAGGTAATGTATGAGAAAGTTCCTCTATGAGAAAGCTGTATAGAGGCACAGGCTTCTATAAAAACAGACCCACCCAACCTCTCATTTCATAAACTTGGACTAAATGTCCTGCTTCAGTTCTTAAGACAAAACACGATATTCAGCAACACAATAAGGGGCTCTTGGTTTAAATATAGATGCACAATCTAATTTTTTCATCATTTTGATAGGCCAGTTCAGCTTCAGCATTATATCAATCTGATCCACAAATTGATGTTTTTGTGCATAATGGCAATAATAAAGACTTCAAGAATATAATATTATAAATATGTAATGCTCCAGCAGCTCTATATTCTTCAATGTAGTACTGGCAGTTACTACAGCAAGAGAGTTTCACACTTTGATGTGTTGTGGTTTATGTTGAGAGGCTTTAGATTCACAGATGAGAAAGGTGCAATCCATCTTTCCATTCATGTATGAAAAGGTCACACTATGTCTAGTTGGTATATAAAATGATTATTCACAAGAGCCATGGAAATGACACCATCAGCAAGAAAGGCTACCTACGCACAGATCTGTGACATGCAAAATCACATCTGTGCACAAGTACTTGCTCTGAATGTTTCCACATATTCAAAATGGATGTCCAGGCAAATTTGCATTCAAATCATTCAATTGTGGCTGGATTTGCACTGCTGGCTGGCACTGAAAGTCAATTAGAAATTTATTATGACTTTCCCATTCTCTCTCCTTGTGCAACCCCGTGTTTCTGATTAAAATGTGAAAACTCTAGTTGAGTAATTACGGTCATATTTTGGGAATGTTGGCGCACAACAGTATTTACACAAGTGAGACATGTTGCTGAAGTCACAGAACTGAGCAACACCTTCTCAGATCTGCTGTCATGATATTACATTAAAACCACTTTGCACATTAGCAAAGCTTTTAACCTTACAATTATTATTTAAAATACAATAATTGAGAGTAAACTAAAGTGCTGACTTTTCAAAGAGCTGACTCTTTTCTAATAAGTTCTTCAGTCGGTGAATAAATCACATGCAACCATAACAACATTTCTGACACCATAGAAGGATTTTTTTTCCTAGCCTTAGCTATGGCCTCATTTGGAAATATTTTTTATATTCACATTATCTCCAAAACCAGTATTTTACAGGTTATTTGCTACCCTCCGTTGGCTCGTTAAATCTCACTTTTAGCTCAGATCTCCCTATAAGGGCAAGGTCATGAACAGATTTTGGCTGACTGCATATTAATGACTCTTAACAGACAGTCAGGTGAAACTGAGGAAAACTTGCATGAGCTGTAAATGACTACATTAAACAAATACTCAAAGTTATTACTTCAAGAATGAGCCAAATAACAACTGAGAGTAGCAAAGACAAAAAAAAAAAAGTTGTTTCCTAGGAAGTGTGTGTGTGTGCATGCTATGCTCACTTAAGGCACATGACCAAAGGATCCTCCAGCTTTACCTACAGTTTGTTCCTCATATCCTTATTGACACAGGGAGACGTTTACAATGCCTCAGCCCACTTATCAAACAGGAGGAAATCTTAATTACCACAAAAAATGTCCTCTGTCAGTTTTAAAACAATTTGTTAAGTTCAAAAACGATGTCATTATAATGGAAAAATAGAAACGCTGTCAGCATTTTTCCCAAATATGAAACATCATGCATTTCCTGTAAATGGAGCAGAGTAAAACCCAGAAAAATTCTCTAGAACTCTCTCAGAGTAACCACTAATGATGCCCTCATTAGTATTAGATTACATTTCCTGTTGGTATCGTATATCTTAAAGCACTTGGATTTTATATGTTATGGTTTTGCAGTCCCTGCACCAAAACTTTATAATGTTTTGTGATGTAATTGCATATCATTATGATGATATGATTCATATTTAAAGTAACAGTTCACCCAAAAATGAAACTTTGTTGAAAACATACTCACCCTCAGACCATCCAAGATGTAGATGAGCTTCTCACCATCAGCTATTTGGACTCTCATTCTGACGGCACCCATTCACTGCAGAGGATCCTTTGGCGAGCAAGTGATGTAATGGTAAATTTCTCCAAATCTGTTCAGATGAAGAAACAAATTCATCTAGGATGACCTGAGGGTGAGTAAATTTTAAATAAAATTTCATTTTCAACTATTTATTTATTACTTCAAATTAATAGTATCGAAATATTATGACAATATAAATATATGCATTTTTCATCTTAATTTATAGGATGGTTTATATGCACACATAACTCTTTCTGGCTGATGTGGGTGGGATGCTAATATTTAGGAAATGTTTTGTTGTAAATGTAAATTGCTCTTTGCTTTTTTATGCACGTGTGTGAATGTAGAGCCGAGAGATAATATCATCCATATAGATAATCTATCCTCCACCCATACCCACAAAATGTGTAAATGTGCCACTCCTTCCTGTTTCAGTAACATTACTGCCCATTAAGCATCAAGTTTCAGAGTTTAGCAGCCATAAATGCTGTGACTCCAGTGTGCAAAGAACTGTGTGATGACACTTATGCAGAGTATTTTACATTTTAATGAATATACTACAGTCAATTATTTACAGTCACACACAAAACTGTTACATTAGCAATTTCCATGAGAGCCAATGCTGCGTAGCCATCAAGAACAAAAATCACAGAGAATAATATTAGTGACATCAGCTTATCTTAAGTCATATACTATATCTAGAGCAAATAATCTTGAGCTAACAAAGTTAGCTTTCTGCATGTGA